AGTGCTCGAGCCCACAGTCTTGCCTCCAATTCTGGAGGTATTTTGGGTGCTTTTTACACATCAGTACATCGTGTCCGCAGAGACTTACCCTTAGTAATGTGGAGGTCAGGGTGAAAGTGGTCACGTCGCAGCTTGCAGTCTGTGCAGATCGGATGTGTGCGTGCATGCAGGGTTGCCATGCAAAAGTGTCGCTGCGTGGCCAGTCTTTCTCCTTCGGAAAGAGCAGGTACAAGCCATGCTGGGAGCAGGCTGTCAGAATTGCTTTACCAATGAGCTGCTATGGTAAATCCAGATTTCTGCTCTAGCTGCCTCTGGGGAACGTGAAGAACTAACAGCAAGTTCATCTGGTAGCACAAACCACTGAAATGTTCTCCTAGGACAAAACAGCCGCCAGCTACAATGCTAAAGATACTGACATTCAGATTTATGCCTTTCTGCTTGCTCAGAGGTCCCTGCTGTCTCTAACAGCTGTAGCTTGCTATCATCCATAGGGCAATACTATAAATAATACCTAGTATTTAGAGTGCTCTTTGGCCATAGATCTCAGAGTGCTCCGAGCACGGTGGATTCCTTATTGACATGGAGAACACCAAGGTTAAGTGGTTTGCCCAAAGTAACATAGGAAATCTATGGCAAAACTAGGAAGAGACATCAGTCCTCCCACACCCTTTAATGTATGACAGTCACTGAGCAGGATCCTGAGCTCTGCTCGAGGAGAAGCCAGAGTGGGCTGTGGCCATCTGTATGCAAGTAAACACTCTTAATTAATCTGCTAATAGCAGAATAAATCAACTTCCTATAGAGATTTTTGTATGTATCTATCTCTATATCTGTTGGGGTGTGTGTTTGTGTACATTCACTTTTCCCACAGCGCAGGACCCAGACTTTTAAGTAAGAGCTTCTGCACTGTGAGGCCTCTCAAGGGGGAAAGCTTGTGTTTCAGGCAATCAGATGAGAATCCCATTTGGCAAATGAAGGGGGCTAAATTCTGTTTGCCATCATAAAAGCAGTTATGGTGTTTAGATGCTGCATACACATAATATTTTGCAGCTGTGGCCCCTGTTGGAATTCTCTTCAGCCTGATAAAGAGCCCTGCTGATAGCAAGCCATCTCCTATGAGTGTTAATTAATTACCTTTTTTTTTTTTTGCAGTTGCCTCCTTATTTTCACGTTTCGGTCTTTTCATGTGAGTAGCTAGACTGATAGACTGATACAGGCATGTTAACAAAAGGATATGTATATCTGATGCAGTTTGGCTCTTTTTAGAGACTTTATGCATAAATACAATCAGGAGTAGAAACTCGGTTGTCCTATAAATCAGGTAAGCTGGTTCTTTGTTATCTCCCTTCATTTTAAAAGCTTCCCCTTTAGCAGTCTTGAATATGTAGTGGTTTAGACCAAGCTGCATTGATACACCAGTGAATTAAAAGTCTGAACAATGCAGCTAAATAATTGGTTTGGAACAAGAGTTCTATGGAGGTAAGTGACTTGAAAAATCAGAATAGGTATTATATCGATGTGCAGCCTTCACTAAGTAGCTCTAGAAACTACTTTCACGCCTCGTTTCCATAATGAATGAGATGTAAATGAAATGAGCACACTGGAGACACTTTAGTTCAGCTCTGTGTATGTTCAGCTTCTCCAAGCCTGCCTGTTCTCATTCCCCTGTGGTCTGTGGGGCTGCTTTGTTGTGGAAGATTCTTAGCAAGAGCTAAAGGATCCATGTACTACAACTTAGAAGAGGCTTTCACATGTGTCACTTAGGAGAGAGTGTCGGTTGAACTCACCTAGATGTTGATCAATGTGGTGGTTTAGGCTGGACTGGCCACTAAAACAAATGACAGATGCTCTCTCCCAGGACAGTCAAGCGAAGTCCGGTAAGCATCACTGAGGAATTAACTCAGGCAAGGACCTATCGCTGCCAAATGTTGCGTTTAGAAAATACGTCAAGCATTTTTAAAAAACTCTCTGAGATTAATTTATTTAGTCCTTGAATGCCCAGGAACTCTGTCACATGTTTCTATATGTTTATTGTACCGTATCCTATCCGTGCACAGTGTTAGAGTTCTGCAGTGACAAATCTTATTGCCTATAGTGCCATGCCTACCATATAAAATCAGTTCTATGTTTCTACCAGCCCACACTATCAGAAGTACACAAGATAATGTACCCGTTTGAAGCAGGAGAGGCTTGTGTCCTGCAGGAGAGTTGCATGGTGCCAACCTGAGCTCCCTGCGTGGGGGCAGCAGGACTAACCATTCTTCACTGCCGTGCCTGGCCCCGGAACGACCTGCCTCCTGGGGACAGGTAGGAGACCAAGAGAGTTCTAAAATAAGTCAGGATATCACGTGCAAAGTGCTGAGGAGATCAGATTTGTGTTCTGCTTCCAGTTCATTTCTCGCTGTTTGAAAACTGACAGGAGGGGCTGTTTATGCACTTAACACCAGGCGTATGTTTAAGCACCTTTCTGAATGGGTGTTTGGTCTCCGACAGCCATCATCTTCCTCATGCATAAATAATGCCTCTTTCCTGTGAAATTAGTTGAGTATTATTGTGCTGTTTGACTTCTTGGTGAAAGCTATAATAGATGAAGTTCAAAAGTGGCACCAATAAGGGCCTGAGAAGAGCAGAGCGCCTGGTACAACGTGCTCATAATCAGGAGTGTTAGAAGGCCCAAG